TCTGGGAAGCCTTATGTTCTTCTAGGAGCTACACAGATGCACTTCCAACTTCAGTGTTTGGCCAAAACTGCCCTTAGCAAGCCACAGTTTTGCTGGTGCATCAGGCAGAACTTCTTCACGTGCCTGAACTCCCCGTGAAGCACACTACCAGCACCAATTCACCAAAAACCTGAGAAACAGGGATTCAAGCCTTCAGCATCACCTGTAAACATCAGTGGCGTTGTGGTAGCAAGGGAAATCACCACCAGCCCAGCAATGTTGGAGATCAATCCTATCTCTGCCACCCAGGTGTCCTCAAGGCAGAGCTGCAGCAGCCTCAGCCCCGCCAGGCTGCTCAGGTAAGCCAGGTAGCTGGCAGCCGAGCCGTACCCGATGAGATCAGAAGCCCAGCACAGAGGGGAGCCGAGCTCATACAAAACATAGATGTCCTTGGCTCCAAAATGCACCGTGACAATCAGAAAGAAAGCCAGCGTGTACAGAGCCAGCTTCCACCTGGAGCTCGGGTGCTCCGGGGCCGTGTACAGCCGGTACACAGCCTTGTAGTGGCTGAGCGTGAACAGCTTGGCCGCCTTCTTCTGCTTCACCGACTCCCGGAGGAAGAAAGCGGCGTAGAGAGTGGCAGCAAGGCTGGCAGCAAAGGCCAGCCAGAAGGGGTTGATGTAGCCCTGGGCTCTGCGCCACTGGCCACCGCCGATGCTGGCCACCATGCCCGCGGTGCCCAGGCACGCCTCGAGGACGGCCACCCGGAAGGTCCGCGCGCGACGCTCGCTGGTGTCGGCCACGTAGGAGAAGCAGCTGGCCAGGATCAGGTTGTAGTCGCCCGTGAGGCCGCTCAGGATGCGTCCCAGGAGGAAGAAGGCGACGTGCAGCTCCAGGTACATGACCAGCAGGTAGATGGCTGTCTGCAGGGCCATGCCTGCGCACGGCAGGATGAGCGCCGGGCGCCGGCCCACGCTGTCGCTCCACGCACCGAAGAGAGTCACGGAGAACAGGCTGACAAAGAAACCTCCCAGGTTGATGTAGAGGTTCCAGTGGGACACCAGAGCTTCCACCTCCTGCAGGAGAAACAGGCAGCTGAGGAGATCCAACATCACCCACTGGGCTCCCTGCTCCTCCTGGGTCTTCCATCACGCTCCCCTTCCCCTCCGGGCTCCCTGCTCCTTTTGGGGCTTCACGTTCCCTCCCGACTCTGCTTCCAGGGACCCCAGCTCCTCTCAAGCTCCCCGTTCCCCCGGAGCTCCCCTCTCCCCTGGGACCTCTTGTTCACCGTGAGCCTCCCACTCCCTCCGTGGCTCCCCAGTCCCACGGACCCGCCTTTCCCCCCGGGTCTCCATCTGTGCCGTGCCTCCCCTGCCCCCCAGGCTCTCCCCCTGAGCTCTTCATCCACACCGGAGCCCGCCGCTCCCCCGGACCCCCCGTTTCCCGGTGTCCCCACCTGCCGCAGGGGGTCGGCGGTGGCGTTGCCGTCCCCGCAGCCGGAGGACTCGGTGCTGTTGCGGTCGCTGTAGCCGTGCTCGGCTCCCAGCCGGTCCCACAGGTACTGGGTGGCCAGCGGGCCCTGCAGCCCCAGCGACACGGTGGCCAGGAAGAGCAGCGGCTCCACGGCGAGCAGCGACAGGCGGCACGGGCCGGGGGGCACCGGCGGCTCGGCGGGCGGCGGAGCGGCCATGGCGGCCATGAGGGGGCG